AAGCCTTGACCAATGGGAGGATGTTGGCAACTAGCTTTTACATGAAATCCTCTGGAAGGCACAGGTGGTGTTGGTCAGCTGACAGCTTAAGCTTTTCTGAGCAATATATTAGCCACTAGCCACATGCCACTAAATTTAAATTAATTAAAATTAAACGAAATTAAAAATTCAGTTCCTTAATCCCATTAGCCATATTTCACATTTCAATTGCTCTATAGCCACATGTAGCTAGTTAGTGGTTACTATACTGGACAGGACAGATATAAAACCACCTTTGTAGAAAGTTCTATAGGTTCCTGCTGAACATCAAGGCAGCATTCATGAAGTTAATTTAACTGGTTAATTTAACTAATGTCTGCATCAAAACTAATCTGCCCTCTATTCTTTGATTATCTTCTATTTTATAGAATGTAAGTTTATCAAAATTGTGTTGCCCAAGATTCTGTGCAATTTTTCAAGCTGTTAGAATATTTTTGATCACTGTTTATATCAGTGTGTGTGAATGCATTTCCAGAGATTCTATGAAGGAGGCTGTCCTTTTCTTGATTGAATTTCTGAATTCTATCATTAGCCTCAACATCTCTGCAATTATCCATATCTGGCTATTAACATGTTATTTCTACACTTCTCTTTCTCTCCCCAACCCGCCCCCTGCAACATCCTCTGAATTAGAAGCTGGGGAGACTTCGAGATTCTTAAACAGATCATTATTTTGATAGCAGCTTGTTCTTAACAGCCCTGGTTTTGTCACAGAGGTGACTGGATCTGTTTCTGTGGCCACATTGTCTTAATTATATTCCTCATGTATCACAAGCCTTGGGATAAAGTGATGTTATACATTGTAGTGTCTACAGGGCAGCACTTGATGGTAGACTGGGAAACATCTAAATGTAACACGTGTAGCCTAGCCGATGCATTTACTGTCATTAGTTAACCAAGCAGCTCATGTGCCTCTTTCGGCTCCCTGACCCACATTTCATCCATGCTCTGCTGTTTTTCTCCTGCAGGGTTATTTCCTGAGTAAAGCCCAGAGCTCATGAGTCCCCCAGCAGAGAGCTCTGTTCTGACCTCCCAGAACAGGCAGTTTCACCTGCTGGGCGAGTGTTTTCCTGCTTCCTACTCAATCTGTTAAGATTTTAGCAGGAGATTCTTGGATACCTTTTCAGAAAACATATGGGAGACTGTAATTATTTTGGCCTGGTACAGTTTTAGAATTGAAAGAGTAAGGAAGAGGTGCAAGTCTTCTGCTCATAAATAACCAAAATGTGTGGGCATTTTAAAAAGCATTCTGTGCAGCAACAGAATTTACGTGCTACATTTCACCCCTGGCATACTTTCCCAATGAATTGTTCAAAGAGAAGTTATATTAGGACAAATAGAAATGATGACCACGACCAGATGTGGATTTTTAGTTAATATTCATGCAACACCCAAAGGGAAGATAGTATTGCACAATAAACTAAAAATGTCTTAGGCAAATAAGGAAATCTTTACCCTGAGGAACTGGCACTGCAAAGGTATGAATTATACAACAAAGGACTGGGAATGCAGAACAAATGCAGGGTAGGTTGGGGCGACTATAAAAAGGAATTCATTGAGGAAGTGGTGAGGTAGCAGATGTGTGGAACCTACTTTGGGAAAATAAGGGCTTAGCACTTTTTTGGCCAGTATTGTGTCTAAGGTAGAAAACTCAAGCCAACCAGTCTAATTTCCTTCATCTGTGGAGAGCAGCAGTAGCTTTAAATAGAACATACATATATTCAGAACTGAGGCAGAAATCTCACATTGAATAAGTACACCTTAATAAACCAAAAAGCTATGTCCCCAGATTTTTAAATGATCTCTGAGGATAGTGATGACATCTTTAATCTGATTTTCCCCTTAAAGTTGTTCAAGGAAGGCAGAAAATGCAGCAATTGGCTGCTTCTCAGCCCTTGGAGAGCAATGTGAAAGAGGCCATGGCTTAATGCACTGGAAGGATATTGAGACCCGCATTAAATTATAAGAGAAAAATTTGTTAAAAGCAACTGGATTTCTCAAACACAGCTGGATTTCCAGACTTCCATTTATAAGTGACAGCAAGATGTGCCACTTTACGGCCTATCTCCCAGTCTCTTACGCTTCCAATTCAGAGGAGTTAGGGGTGGGGAGAGGAGAAATGGAGATGGACGAGGGTAGAAATGTTTATTTAAAACTACTGGAGCCTCAAAAATGGAGACAGCTCTGGAAAAGGCTTACAAGCTTTTAACACACTGAACGAAAGCTCTCTAATATTTTTATGGCTTAGTCCTCTTAATTATTGAAGACAGCTGTCCCTGTGTGACTTCCCACCATGGGTCTTCCTGCAGATTTAATGCATTCTTAAGAATGTTTAACCTACTTCCTCCCTCTTGCTTTTGTTAATTCCTCCCCATCACTGACACAACAAATCAGTTTATATTCTCATAATGAAAATTTGTGGATTTTCAGTTGTTTTATGGTTTTTTTAAGAACATTTATTTGTCCACTTATTAACTGTCAACAATTTTTTTTTAAGTTTCTTTTACCCGTCCAAATGTTATAGGTTCTGGGTGTGGAAAACAAGACCGATGAGGTCCCTGCTCTCACAGAGCTTCCATTCGGTGGCGATCCAGATACAAATGCATACTATGAAGAAACTAACACAGGGTGATGGGATTGAGAATGATGGAGGAGAAGAAAGAGGCTACTTTAGTTCTGAGATGATGGCACTTGAACTAAGGCCTGAATGGTGAGGAAGAGTCAGAAAAGGTCTAGCGAGAAAGTATTCAATGTAGGATGAAAAGAAAATGGTAAGTTCCTGAGGAGACAAATGTCATGTGTTGTGCACGTGAGCACAATGTGAAGGGGAGAGACAGTCAGGGCCAAATGATGGCTGATCTGGCCCTGGTAAGAATTAGAGTTTTATTTGTTGTGCAACAGGAAGTCACAGAACATTTTTAAGTGGGGAGTGTATAGGTTTACAAAGAATCTTCTGTCTAGTGCCTGAAATTAAGACTGGGGAAGGGGAGGGATTGTAGGAGAAGAAGTAAGGAGACCACAAAGGGTTACTGCATTAGTCCATGCAGGAGATGAGGGTGGCTACGACTAGGATTGCAGCCGTATGGATGTGATGGCATATGTTTTTGAGGTAAATGTACGGATTTTAGTTAACAAGTAACAGGAAAAGAGGAAGTTTCAGAGCATAATAATAATATAATAGCTAACATTTTTGTACTTTCCACAAATCACATTCTGTACTTTTTGTACTTTCCTGTAAATCACATTTCTAGGTGATTTACACATGCTAACTACTTTAATCCTCATAATAATAGTATTCATAAGATAGGTACTATTATTATCACTATTTTATAGATGAGAAAACTGCACAAGGTTGAGTTACTGGCCAAAGGCCACCCAAATAATAAGTAGCAGAGTGCAGCCTCAAACACAGAAATCTCATTCTGCAGTATGTGTTCTTCCTCCAGTGTACTAGGACATAACATATAGACACACAATACATATATCTTAACATAGAAGTGCAGCAGAGAGACACACAGGATCTTCATGAACCAACTTATGATTTTTAAAACATTTCAACAACAAACAGAAGTCATAGGGGATAAAAGGTAAAAGATCAGTCCCTGCTTTAAAAAAAATTCTTTTTTATATATGTTTACATATATTTTTCCCAGGGCACAAACATGTGCCATTGTAGATGGCATAATAGGTATAATAAATATTCATAATTGCACTTGTGTCTATACAGATTTTTACAGATTTTCTTGTGAACTCAGGAAAAGATGTAGTTTTGTTTTGCAGAAGCCCAAACAACAGCATCTACTTTAAGGCCACTTCCAGACATCTACGAGGCTCAATTTCTTGCCAGAGTTTTGGAGAACTTGCGGGTTAGGTGCTGCTCTTGGAACGGTGGTAAGGCACCCTGCTCAGAAAACAGATTTGTTTTCCACACCTTGTGCTTACTATGCAGCAGGGGGCGCTGCAGTAGAGCTCATCGCGGTCCAGGGGAGCCACTCGTCCTGCTGGGAAGGGGACAAGCCAGGAGGAGGTGTGGCAGGCAGCCCGCGGTCCTCTTTGGTCCTGCAACTTTAGTACCCAGAGCTTGTTCTACGCGGGCCATTCTTCTGCACCATATTTCATCGTGTTGGATGCCTTCCATCCAGCGCTACACCCAGGCGGAAAGGAGAGGGCGTGAGCTTCCCGCCTCGCTGTGTTTAAGGGCAGTGCTGTCCCCGGTTGCGCTCAGGCTTTCTCATCTGTGTTCTCAGGGCCAACGGGTCAGTCTCCCCGAACCCACGGAAGGCCCCCTGGGCGGTCGCTGCGGGGTGTGTGCGTGTGCGTCGTTCTTTCCTCTCTTCGGATCCTTTCTTTTTAACCTCACTGAACATTTCTCTCCCTACACGTCTTCCCCACCGACACTGGGGCCGCCGTTGTGTAAGAGCTCGAATGAATCGCTTCCTCCTGACACGGCCCCCCGCTCTCCAGTACCCCTCCCACCCCTCATTTCGGCTGGCACCCCGTGTGCGTGCGTGAGAGGTCGCCTGCGTGTTGGTGGCAACCGAGGCTGCAGCGGCCGCCAAACCTGTCCCTGCTCTCTCGGCGCTCAGAAGCGGGTCCAGCTGACCCGGCTTACGCCTGGCAGCGCGCGGCGCACACTCGCCGGGGCCGGGATCCGGGCCGGGCACCGTCAGGCAGCAGCAGCGCGCGAGCGACCCCGTCCTCCTCGCCCTCCTCCTCCTCGGGCTCCCCCTCCCTCGCGCGCTCTAGCCACCCCTTCGCGCCGTCTCCCGCGGTCGCCCGTGGGTCCCGGGAGCTTTCCCGAGCGAAAGCGAAGGTGAAAGAGACGAGCGAGGGCGGGCGGCTGGTGGGAGGGGCCTGCAGCCCCGGGCGGGGAGGGCGGGGCGAGGGAGGAGCCTCTCCCGCCGGCGGGCAGGGGGCGGGGCCTCCGGGGCGGGGCGGCGTGGAGAAAAGGGCTGGGCGAGCCCGGGATGGAGGGCTGGCCACGCAGGCGCGGGGGGCCGCGCCGAGATCCCCACGCGGGAGCTTGTGGAGTCTCCAGCCGCCGCTTCTCACTTCATTGGAGAAGAGGGCTGGGGCTGGGCCCGGGAGGGAGCTAATAAAGAGTGAATGTGCAGCAGCCGCCGTGGCGGCCGGAGTCCGCCCGAGCGACACCGGAGCGGTGCGCCCGGGAGGCGGCGAGGGGAGGCGGTTCGCCTCGTCCCTCGCACCCGCCCCTCTTTCTCTCTCTCCCTCCAGCTGGTCCCAGAGCCCGGCTCGCTTGGGTCCCTCTGCCCCCATCCCGCACTCTTCCACCTCCTCCGAGTCCCGCTCCTCACCTAGGGCGCCCCGAACTGCCATGGGTTAGGGTGGGGGCCGCCACCCGCGCGAAGGACCGGCTCTGTGCATCCGCCGAGGACGCGGAGCCCGAACGCCGCTCGCCGCTTGCGGGCGCTGGGCATGGGGAGTGCGGCGTGAGCCCGCACCCGGGGAGGACGCAGGAGCTGCGGAGACGGGAGCGAGGAGGAGGAGGAGAGGAGCCGTGGATTGGAAGGACCCGAGGGAGGGAGAGGAGGGAGGGTGGGGAAGCGAGGGAAAAGTGAAGCTGGGAGGAGAAGGCGGCGGAAGGTGGGGATTGATGCTTCTGTTTTTTGTTGCCGCTGCTGCCCTCGCGCTGGGAGCTGAGCCGGAGGGAAGGCGGTGGAGAGATGATTGCAGAGTTGGTGAGCAGCGCTCTGGGGCTCGCCTTGTATCTCAACACCCTGAGTGCGGATTTCTGCTACGACGACAGGTAAGGGGGCGAGAGGAAGGGGCGACAGAGCTGCAGGGGGCACTCCGCGGGGGCTCTGGAGCTTCCTGCTTGAAGGTTCAAAGTGCGTCTAGGGGGAACTGGTTCAGCACCTGGAGGTTCAGGCTCCGCGTAAACACTGACACCTAAAGCAAACACCGGGGACGCGGGCGCCCTGGGCGGGCTGAGGGAGTTTCCGCTCCTAGTTTGCAGCAGCAGGTTCTCTTCCTTGCTTCTTGGCTGTTGGCAGCCGCTGAAGTTTCTTAGCGGAAATCCCGGCAATTTGGGAAACTGTTTAATGAACCTCTTTTTTTTTTTTTTTTAAGTCTTAGATATTGCTTGGTGCAACAAAAGCACATTAAGTGATTTTACGTCTGGGCTGGGAGGAAGCCGCTCCCCGCCCCTTGATAGATCTTCTCTGTACCATTTCCTTTTTATTGATGGGACACTTTTATTTCCCAAAGTTAAAGCGCACGTTTGACAGTTGCCAAAATAGTGAAAAGAGAGATCGCTCTCTGCTTCAACTTTCCCTTTTGACGTGTACGGGACTTTACTTAGAGCCAAGATAGCGCTGCTGATGGGCTCCAGCCTACCGCAGCAATCGATGGGGCAGCACTTTATAAAAGCCTCGGCTTTCATTTCTGTTTGGGAGTTTTACATTAGATGTCAGTGATTCTTTTGTGCTAATTGGGGAAGAAGACGCCCCTAGAGACCAAAGTTGTCTTCTGCACTTGGGTTAGTTTGGGTGGCTAATGAGACCTGAACTGTGTTGTCAGAGAAACTGCATCGATTTCTGGAAAATGTCACAGTTGTGTCGGTGTCTCTACCTATTTTTTCAACGTTGTTAGTGTTTAGAAACTGATGAAAAGCTCCAATAGCCATTAGGGAAAATTCCAATTTGTGCCTTTCCGGTGACTTAATCTGATTACAATTAAAACAGATGCATAATTAAAATATATTAGGGAGAACAGCACGCCTGGCTAAACTTATTAACCGTCCTGGGGTGTTTCATGCTCCATTGAAATTAAACCATCCAAAAAGTGAGCACAGATTTACTTTGACAGCTTTTCAGCAGCCTCTCTGGGCTATGGAAAGTGAATGGATCCCCAGGGTTAGGGCGAGGCAGTGAGTGAACTTAAGGAAAGTGGTTGATAGTGAAGAGAGGTGAAGGCAGAATCTTCTCCTGGTTGTAATTAGCCATATTCTGTATTCTCTAGTGTGCCCACTCACCCACTCACCACTATTCTCTAGTGTGCCCACCACTCATCCAAAAGCATGTTTATGGATGCATACCTTAAATCTGGCAATCTTGGTTCACACCCATGTAGATTACGAAATCCCCTGATAAGAGGTACACAAACATGCAGTAAAACCTTCTTAATGTGTTTTGTATAGTGCCTAGCAGAGGCTAGTTGGTAGGAAGCCACTGTTAGGCATAAACTTTTCCTCAACTTTTAAGTAGTGTGTTGATTTTAGAAATTATACTACATGATCTGAGAAACGGTCTGCGCAAAACAGCTGAGCTGGTTCTGTTTTCTCCTATTTTGTGTAATGGTGCACCTGCTGTTTCTAGCGTATTGGGTAAAAAAGCCTTTGCTTCCAAAGATGGGTGACTTTTCACTAAAAAGAGCTCGAGAGTGAGTCTGGGCAGTTACTGGCTCTGTTGGCTACACTTTGAATAGTAAGCATTTAAACCAAGAATATAGAGCTTATTAAAAAAGAAACCTACTGTAATACTGTAACTATTGTAGAACACAATGATAAATCAAGCATTACTATTGTATGCTCTTGTTAATTGCTGTTCAGTTCTTAAGAAAGTATATGTCTGAAGAAAACATTCTTAGAAAATTAAGGAAAGAACCAAAATCAGTTTGGATACATATTTTTCTGTAGGTCTAATGCTGATTCTGTGCTCTAGAGTCATCAGTCATCAGTGTTAGGACTTTAACTTGGGGAAAATGGTGTAAGCGTGATGAAATTAGTTGTGCTTTAGTGGTTGGTAGTTGTTAAAAGTTCTTCACATGCTGTAGGTCAAATGGAGTGTTAAAATTCCTAACTTCTACCTTCTGTCTACATAGATGAATTTATTTTGATGATGTGCCCATATCTGCTAATTGATAGCATGCTCAGTGTGATATACAGATAGCATATATGTTAAGCCAGCTTGTAAATGTGAATTATACTTTGCTACAATTTAAAAAGTGTATTAGTCTCTGATTTCTTAGTAGCAGCGTATGCCATCATATATACTCTTAAGAATGTGAAGTCTTAAGAGTAGCCAACTTTGTTTTTATGTATCCTAGAAATTATGAGATATGTGTTAATAGGAGCACTGAACTTATTTATAGTATACATAGCACATTAAAGTGATTCATTGCCAAGGTGCACTATAAATTATGGCTTTTCAGATATATTTTCTATCTAACTGCTGTAACTCACTGGTGTGTGAAGGGGGAAGAGAGCTGGGGGCCAAGTGGAAACTGTAGAATGATAATAATGTGTTTATTTCCACTACTCCATTTCAGACTGCAAAGATTCATGTTTAAAACGTTGCTTGAACTCCATCTGTGGATTCTGCTGCCCCCCAGGAACTTTTGTGAAGTACAGTTCTGTAAGGAGAGGCCAGTGCTGGAAGTAAAAAGAGCAGCTCTCAGGGAGATGGCTCTTATGCCTGACTTGCTTAACTAATCAGGGCTCCACATTTTTGCCTGAACAATCTGGCATTTACTTTAGGAGGGCTTTATATTGCTTTAGCTTAAATATTATTGCTGTGGTACTTCTCAAAGTTATCATTTCTTTTAAATATAGTGATCAAGTTTACTTTATAAACTATACATATATAATTACGTTCAGTGTTTGATGTAGCTTGGTTGAAATTCTAAGTGGTAACATGAAACCTTCTTATAACAAAATCAATGTCCCTGGCAAAATTTAATATTTTACAAGTGTTTCTGTGCTAAACTTAAGAATAGATGATGAAACCAACAGAAGAGAAGAATTCATAGTATCTGATGAAAAAGCCTTTATGGTTTCAGCTTCATCCCCCCTCCTTTTGCCTTCAATCTAGTCATGACTGTATTGAATCTTAAGTTGTGGTTAGAGTAACATTGAAATTAAAAGTGTGCAATCTTTGCCAAGTTTTAAGTCACATTGTATGTGACTCCTTGAAGGATTTTCTCTTATTTTGGGGAGAAATTTGGTTTAGATCAGTGGGAAAAACTTGCTGACCCCAGATTTTCTGCTTCCTTATATATTTGTTGAGCACAACATGGCATCATTTCCCTTTTATCCTCTTTAAAAATACTGTTATGAGTTTCTCATGGGGATAACAGTAGGAGAGGAGTCAGTTTACTTCAAAGCAGACGAAGGTAAATCATAACTTGTTTTGAAGCTTATTTCACCTTGCACATACCATCTAATTGATGGCATGCCCTTTATGATGTATAGACAAGTAAATAAGATAATGTAACTTGCATGTGTTTTTAATTCTTACATTTTTAATTCTTTCATTAGTTTAAAAAAAGAATAGTTGAGATTTGGGAAGCAGAAAATGTATTTGTGGCTCCTTTGAAGATTTTTTTCCTTATTGCCCATTTTGCATTTTTCAAACCCAAACCACAATCATTAATGTTATCTATAGGTCTCTTAGCTGTTCCATTGTGCAATAATTTTGTGAAACTTGGAGAAACAACTCCATAGCAGACATTTCTACTTGTAAAACTACCCAAAACTCTTAATAGCATTTCTAGTTTTTCATTTGGGTGTATATGTAAATCTCAGTTTTTACGGAAACACTAATTAAGATTTTTTTATGGCTGGGTGCAGTGGCTGGTAATCCCAGGTTGAGGCGGGAGGCCTGCTTGAGGACAGGAGTTCAAGACCAGCCTGGGCAACATAGAGCGACCCCATGTCTACAAAAAAATAAAAATAAAAAAAGTAGCTGAATGTGGTGGTACACACCTGTAGTTTTAGCTACTTGGGAGGTTGAAGTTGGGAGGATCGCTTGAACCTAGGAGTTTGAGGCGGTGGTGAGCTGTGATCTGCTACTGCATTCTAGCCTGTGTGACATAGTTAGGTCTTGTCTCATAAAAAAAATTATGATTTTGATTAATGCATATTAACAATTTTTTAAAAAACTTTCTTTTTTTCTAAAGATATTCAACTATTCCTTCTACTTTAATGTTACTGTTACTTGAGTTTTTGACCTGGTCTGATAGGAATCCCTTGTGAAATGATCAATCACTCTGTTAAATTTGCTCTAAAAAGTTCTCTCTAATGTATTAATACTTGCCTTGGACCAATCTGATATTGTTATCTTAAAATTCAAGTGTGTTTAACCAATGAAAGCATGTCTGGTATTTAGTAAAAGCATGTTTTAAAAAGAATTACTATAAAATTAAATAAGGGAGAAACTTGCTTTGTATCAGTGGTTGTCTTATCGGGTTATTGGAAGAAGCCAACATGCACAGAAGCATTGTTTAACTCTTTAGTTTCCTTTCCCATTTATAATACACTGGAAAAATGCAATTGAATACAATTTATAGATTATGAATTGTTTTATATGGCATTTTATTTTCTAGCTAAGTTTTGGTTGTTTAAACAACTCTATTTGGAAAAGGTTCATTTTTCTCTTTTGAATCACTTACTAGTAAAATTAAAATTAGGCAAAGTCAATATGGGCCACTTTGCCTTACTTCTGTTGAGCCTGTCACATGATGTTCATCATAGCAAATGACCCAAATACAGCCACTGAACAGACATGTACAAATGCCATGGGGAAAATTGCTTGCCAGCCATCTGTCTCTTAGTTTTCATATATGTACACTCAGAAGCGTGCATGCACACACACGTGATTATTAATTTACATTGGTGATTCTTTGGGCTGTTGTCTGTCATCCGCACTTACTAATAGTTTTTCGGTACTGATGTGACCCTATGGTAATACTAAATTTTCTGCATCTGTGATTCTGAGATAGTTACAACCTTTTGGATTCCAACATAAG